TTGAAGTACATTTTTGTCGCACAACTTCATTTTATTTAACATTTATTAATTTGTTCAGGTAAAGGTCGTACTGTTTCAAGTATAGCAAAATGGCTTCTACTGGACTCTTAATTGTGTCCAATGTAAAGCAAATAGGAAAATCATTACGTGCTATTGAGAAATATGTAGGTAAAATATATATTCACTTAAATATCCCCGCGGAAAAAACACAGCCATTGCCTATTTGGGGGCACTTGATATCTCAATTGTATGTCGACCATAATCAATTATGCCGTAAGGATATATCTTTGAGCATTTTGGTGGGATCGTTGAGAGATCAAGGAGTCAATGCACTGCAAATAAGGCCAGTTGATATGTTGTTCTCTGATAGTCATTACCCGGAACTCTGTGAACGCATGCTTCAACATTTTAAAATACCCAGTCAACCGATTTACCTAGAACAAGATGAAAACACGAGTATTAGTTGTGATCAACAAAATGTGAACGAGTCTAATAAAATGTACGATACTGTAGTAGTAGGTGGAACCTTTGATCGTATACATGTAGGGCACAAGATATTCCTTACCCAAGCTGTAATACGCTGTTGTCGCCGTTTAGTGATTGGAGTAACAACAAGTAAAATGAACAAGTGTAAGTCATTCTTTCACAACAATAACGTTCAATATATAAATTTATATTATTTATAGCTAAAATTCTTCCGGAATTAATCTTACCCGTTGAATCTAGAATAGCTGAGATACGGGAATTTCTCACTGAAATTGATGCAAGTTTACAATATGAAATTGTCCCAATTGATGATCCTTTTGGGCCAACAAAAAGCGATCCTAATATGGACATGATAGTGGTTAGCGCCGAAACGTTAAAGGGTGGTCATAAAGTAAATGAGATACGAACCAAAAATAATTTGCGACCACTTGAAATACATTGCATAGAACTTGTTGAATCCACACACTTAAGTAGCGGTCCAAAAGAAAAGAAAATGAGTTCTAGTAATACACGTATTGACTTATTGGGAACTCGACTGAAACAACCCGAGGTAAATTAACCATCATTTCTACCAAAATGGTAATAATTGCTTCTTTCAAATTTAGCCGCGTCCCAATCTCTGCGATAAGCCATATATAATAGGTTTAACAGGTGGTATAGCATCTGGAAAAAGCATTATGTGCGATAGATTGCTTAAAAAGGGTGCAAAAATTTTAGATTGCGACAAGATTGCACATCAAATATATGAGCCAGGTCAAGTTTGCTATCAGAAAATAATTAATCACTTTGGAAAAGATATTGTGAACAAAGATAGACGAATAGATCGCAAAAGACTTGGTGAAATTGTTTTCAACGATCCCAAACAATTACAAACTTTGAATAATATTGTTTGGCCTCAACTATTAACAGAGGTTAAAAAGCGAATACGCGCTGTTCACGATCAGCATAAATGCGATGTTGTAGTTATAGAAGCTGCTATCTTATTAAAAGCTGGTTGGGAAAATGAATGTCATGAAGTATGGTCAACAATTGTTACTCCTGATCTTGCGGTACAGCGCATTATACAACGCAACGGTTTAAGCGAAGAAGAAGCTCGAAAACGAGTCGATAGTCAAATGGAAAATAGTGAGGTAGTATCCAAATCACACATTGTTTTTAGTTCGCAGTGGTCAGATGAGTTCACCCAACAACAAGCAGATAAGGCATGGTCCATCTTAATGGATGATATACAAAAGCGGAAACTAAATAAATTATCTACGGACGAGTATTCCAACAACAGCCGTCTTTGAATAACACCTTGAAAATTTTGATTAATAATGTAAATAATATTAATAAATATAAGAAATGTCAAATAAAGGTGATTGGGAATTTGTAAATAAATAGCTGATGAAACCAATTGTAAATAGAACCGAGTTGACAGATTTGCACTGTATCGACAAGAATACACCCAATTATTATTCTATAAATATGCTGTATGTAGTCAGATATATATTTGTTACAATAGAAACAGTAGGAAATTAGATGGAAATATTTCTCATTAATCCAGAAATATGTGTGCATTTCGATCCTTTCATTGAATTCTTTTAATGACTTTCTCCTTTTTTTCCTGCGACACGTTTAAAATCGGTCATCTTTGTTGTCATAATAGGAGATCCTATGAATGCAATGTAGTCTATTTGTGTAACTTCTCCCCCTGATTGATTGTTACGAACGTAAATTTGAATATTTTGAACGTTCTGAAATTTCACGTAACGCAGATTGATTGGCTGGCCGTTTTCAAGCTCCTTCGGATCCAAGCTAAATCATTAAATAAACAATGGTAAATTTTAACCAATTATCATGTATGCGAGATAAAGAAACTGCTTACGTTAAATCTTGCACACTTGTCATAGACTCGGCCATGTCAAAATCGATTGTCCTTGGTTGATTTATAAACAGTTTAATTTCTTTTGGTCCTAAGTGTGGTGGAGCTTTGAACTTCAATGAGTGTATTTTCACAAGTTGATTAAATGTTACTGACAATATTAATTGCTCATCACAATCCGATTGCAGATAACCACCATTCGATGTAAGACAATGATTTAAGCAATGGTCATCAGCTTCGTTCAAACATTCACATTCCTGTTTCGAAATGAATGTATTTAACTCCATCTAAAACGAAAATTATATTCTAATACATGTTCTGAATTTTTGCAATTAAGTGTACATACAAGACCTTGACCGTAGTCCTCACCAGCTTCGTCTCCGCCACTAGAGCCGATAAGCTCCTGAATCTTATTTTCTAATACCATTATATCAGCACCTTGGACACGATCTATTTTTGTCTGTGTATCATAACAAAATTCAATTAAGAAAAGACATAATACAATACAAATGAGATATTATTATTACCCTGTTCCGATAAAATATAAATGTGGGCATAGCTGAAACACCTTGGCTCGCTGCTGTGTCCTGACATTTATCAACGTCAACTTTGAGAAATATTGCTTTTGGATATTTGGTTGGAAGAATCTCGAAATGTGGTGCTATACGTTGACATGGTCCACACCTGCGAAGAAAAAATAAATATATAAATACATAACAATATTATTCTAACAGCATTAATAGTCCCCAAATAATTTTGAACAGCACTACTGAATTGACATTGTTTGCCGGATATAAAACCTGGTACATCCAGCTTACTTAGACCCAAATTCGGTGATGTTAAATGTATACGCACACATAACTCAGTTCCTTACCAACTAGCAGTAAAATCTACGACCACAAGACGTATTCCGGCTGAACTAAGCTCTGATTGAAAGTGGGCATCATCATTAATTACACGTACACTCATATTTAAATATTTCTATTTTGCAAATTATTATTTTTACAATATAAAATTCCTATTTGGACTTCTTTACCGATCCAATTGACATATGCTGACAATCACGATGACTGGCAGTTCACTAAAATCACCTACTCGCAGGGTTGCATTTTTCTGGTTTCCCGGATATAAAACATTCAACATTAAAATTAAATATCGTGTATTTTTAACTAGTTAGACAACAAGAAAATAAAAAATATTTGCGTTAAATACTATATTTAACCATATTTTTAATACTTTTTCTCAAAAAATTAATTATGTTAATTGCACAATTATTTTTATTTGCACCAAACTCAAATTTTCAG